AACAAAAGATTGAGACCATGAACTAGTCAGGAAAATGTTTACTGGGGAAATATATTAAAGAGGACATATCATGCTCATGTGAAAAAGAGAATCTTAAAGTGGACCTATCATGCTATATTTAAATGATATATTGTAGGGCCATACCTATATAAGGTATATTTATACGTTTCTGTTTTCAAAATACCAAACAGATCATGCATTTTAGCCATGCCTCATTTCGCTCTATGTGCTGTTTGCTGTCTACAGGGCTGATTCTGTGAGCTGCAGCTGACCACGCCCCCCTGCAGGAGAGGGGAGCCGTGCTCTGATCAAGTCAAGAGGGGGAGAAAAAAAGATCTCCGTCCTCCGTGTTTTATTTATATATACAGTCTATGGTTTTATTATATTATTATAGGCCTATAGAGTCGTTATTCATTTGTTTTAAAGCTCAATAAATAACAAAGAAGACCTTTGACCGGCACTTTTCTAATTTTGTCCGGAAGATTTAAACTTTAACGGACATCTTGACCGGCGAAAGAAACTGAAACTGAAACTCTGCCGCACGGTCCCCTGGTTCCTTGGAAGAGGCGGAGAGGTGGGTGTTTGTCGTCTGCTGGTGGACTAACCGGAGAGAATTACAGTGCTTGCCTCGACGGGGAGGGATTGCATTGAATTAAAGCAGCGGGAGCAAACGCTTGCCTCGGGGAGGGAGAAAGAAAGCCACAGCGGAGAATAAACAGAAGGGTAACCATAGCAACCATGCGCGGGAAGTTTTCTTCTCTGCTTTTGTGGCAGACTACAGCGCCACTTACAGGCCTGGCATATGTACTACAGCGTCTCCAGCGCTTTCGAGCGGCAATGGCCGGCCGTGGCCCAACCCCACATTCCCCTGATAGGTGGAGAGTTGGCCCAATAGCCGTAGCGCCACTTGTGTGACGACATAGAAGTGTTCAAATCTGGATCAGTCTGTATCAGATCCGTTGCAGCCCCTTTTTTAGAGATTTGGGTATGGAGGAAAATAGAGAGGGTTGTGTTTTCTGACACTTGGTGAGTTCCCTGGAACACCACCGGGGACACATATTCATGTATAAAAGACGTACAAAAGTGCATTTTGCATGATAGGTCCCCTTTAAACTAACAACAAAACCAGATGATGATCCCGGTATATCAACTGTTGTGTTAAAGTGCTTTACTTTGGACCTTTATCACTGAGTCTTTGATGTTGTTCCTTAAAGCAGAATCACACTGCATTTTGATTTTGTTTATACGACTTGTGTTTCCACTTCCAAACTCCCTTGGCAGCAGCAGCTTGGATTTATTTGGGACGTTGCATCAGACACAAACAGCCACTTGTTATTCATTATTTATTCATTTATTTATTTCAGTGACTGCCTTCATTAAGGACATCTGAGGCTGGTGATAGGCGTGCAGATGGCTCAGACTTTGGCTGACCCATCCAATACTTTTATTCACAATGAACCGTTACCATAGTTACATGACGCTCCTTCCTTTTTTGGCCTAGTTTTTTCTGCTTCTGAGAAGTGTGTTTGACATCCTGATTATCCTGCAGCACTGATTACTCTTCAGGTGATAATTAGATCATTAAGATGATTCTCCGACAGATGTTTGTGTCTAATTGCCTTGTTAGCAGGGAGGATGGAGAGGAGCTGTGTTTTCGACGTTCAAATAAACTGGCAAAGCGACTGATCATCAACTGTTGAATTAAAAACAAGGCGTACAGTTACTGTGCAGCAACAGCAAGTTAATAAAGTTGCAGTAAATGCATTCAAGCCACAGGCTCCAAACACCTGTTGCATGTATCTAACCATTATTTACACATAGCTGCAGCATGTCAAACGCATGATGCAGCTGATTAGATACCTTTGTCAAAAGAAAGAAAAGTGTAAACGCAACCAAGAAATCTATTCAGATGTTTTGAAACTGTGATGCAACTTCTTCTTTTATAGTTGCATTTTAAGGACCTCAGAATGCTTCAAACTAGGTTGCACATGAGTCGTCAAACCACATGTGTACCTGTTCTGAATAGAGATCTGCAGGTATGACATAATTTTGTAGGCGACTTATAATTTGAAATGATCATGACCCTATAGTTCCCTCGACCAAAAACAAACATGATATTTTCAACTGGATTTTGGATAATTACTGAAAGCAAGCTCTGTAGCAAACAAGAGTTTTTGATATGTACTTGTTAAATTCAGCAAATTAATATTCACAAATTAACACTACTATGATATTTTGAAGTTTAAGTCAATTGATACAAGTAGAAATCTAATGTTAGGCAATACAAAAAATGATAACACAATCAAATGACTTTACAAAAAGACTGTGACTACTGAGTGTTCATGTTTAATGTCCCCAAAAACCTCTGCAGTCTCCAATAGCCTTTTGTTAGCTATCACCTTTTTTAAGACGTGTAAAACCTTACAAATTCATGAGTAGTGCACTTACTGACATATTTGATGTCATAGAACAAAACTCTCTGACCTCTGAATGTTGTGTTATCAGATCTTTGTTCAGGCATCTACACAACAACCAATACAAAAGCCATTGAATTCGAGACAAGAGAACCAGAAGTGGAAAAGTGTTGACTCATTTCCCAGGGTTTAGGACTCATTCCTGCAGCTGCTGTTATCTCTCTGATTGCATTGCTCAATTTGTCTTGGCATGTCTTTGTAGTCTCTGAACTTTACAAATGGCACTTTCTGAGAGTCTCCTTTCTAAGAAGTCACGGTTGTACGGAAACTTGAGAAAAAAGAGAACTAGGGAAAGTCCAAAATGTTTTCTTCTTTTAGTTTTTTACTGGACCGTCATTTTATAATGAAGGCATGGTTTTCATATTGGTAGGGTTAGGGTTAGGGTTAGGGTTAGGGTTAGGGTTAGGGTTAGTTACAAACATTTGGCAGAGGCAGACAATGTTAGAGGATCTGAAAAATACCCTTTTTAAAGTCAGACCTCCATCAGTACATACATTGTGAACGTTGCCACTTTTGGGGTCTTGCCCGGATGATAATAGCCACCAATGGTGAATGGACAATACTTTAAGGCGATAATATACGGCACTTCACTTAAATTGCCTCTCATTCACACACATGTTGGCCTGTCCATTGGGAAAGATATGGGGACGCTTTGACACGAGGAGTTGGATCGATTTGCCAGTCGTGCAATACTGTATTTATCTGCTGTATGCCTGGCTACACATTAGAACAACAGGTAGAAAGCAGCTTGGGGTTTATTGTCCTTTCTCTCACTTTATGGACCACAGAGTGTCCCAAACAGATTAGCATGTAGCACAACATCCACACATTCTCACCCATCTCACATAAAAACACACTCTTGGCTGAAAGTAATTGAAAGTATATGAATATGCATTTTTTTTATCTGGATATGTAAATGGAGCTGTAGTGGACAAATCCCTGGACTGAGCTGTTTGAAAAGCTCCAAAAATAGCTTGTTGATTTAGCAGTATGAGTCTAAGAGGGACTGTAAGTATCACTTTGCAGTTGATGGTATGAATTCCCACACACTTCACTTTGCACATTGTTGTCATTGCTAAAATAAAAGGCAGAAACACCCACAGAGTCGTATCTGGCTGCAGGAGTCAGATCTGGCATCAATCGAGGACTGTTCTCACAAAAATGCCTCCCTCCGTCTCTCTTTCTCCCCTCTGAGTGATATCCTGGTTGCCTGGCAGAGGTTATAGAGTAACATCTGCCAGGCCCGACCTGCCTCGGCTCCCTACCATCCCCCCCCCCCTCCCTCTTCTGTCCAGTTCTGGATTAGAGATGGCCTAAGCCCCCCCCCCACTGCATGCCGCTCTGCATGGATTAACTCTAAGAGAAGCCGCACTGCTGTCACACATTAACCTGCAATCACAACTTGCAACAAACCTCTCGAAAAGCCTCGTAATACAAACGCACCGTGTCTGTTTTTGTGAGAGCAACATGTTGATCTGCAGCCGGGAGAAAGTTCAGACGCAACGGATTGCTAAACCAGAGACTCAGTGATTTATCACACGTATCCTTACGTCTGTGACAAAACGATGCCATTAGCGGCAGATTTAATTTTGCCGTTAGATTATCTGGAGTCCCCAGCACTGCTGCAGACTGTCGTATCATCTGTCAGTGAAGATGTTAGCTGGGAGACAAAATGGTTTTGCAGCGTGGAGAAATCTGGTTGACTTGTTATCGCTCCAATAGCTGTGCACGCATGGTATTCATTCCCATTATTATTCATGCACTCAAACCTGTCAGGTTAAAGGAATGACATTCAACAAAGGCTTTCTCAAAGGAGCCATTCGCTTTGTGATGGAGGGAGATATGAACACACACACACACACATGCACACACACATCTTTATGCATTGGAAATTAGCCCAAGAACAGACAGACAGACAAACGATAAACCCACACAATTGGAAGTTGCCTGTCTTGCCACCAGTCAGTACAGATGCAGTGAGACTCCGCTGAGCGCAAAACTGCGACTAATGTGAAGCTTCAGCAAGAAGCCATGAATCATCAGCCCCGGAGACTGATCGACAGAACACAGCGAACCCCTGCAGACACGGGGAGTATGAACATTGCACACATACACACCTGCTGACACACACATGTAATCATTTGCTTCAATAAAATGGCACATGTAATTTGTTGGAGAGCAGAGAAGAGGATACAGAAAGGAGAACGAGGAGGAGGGGGGGGGGCTGTAGTCTGTGCAGCAGCAACAGTTGGCTGTCTGAGAGCGAAAGAGTTAGCTGCAGCACACACAGTCAGTGACACACACACACACACTGACACACACACACAGTGACACACACACAGTGACACACACACAGTGACACACACAGGTGATTTGAGATAGAAAGAGATGGACAGGGAAGAAAAAGGTGAGAGATAAAAACACGCAGCTGGAGGGATGCCTGGCAACCGGTGGCCCAAAAAAAATGGAGATGCAGTAATAAGACGAGAAAGGGATAGACATTGGAAAAAAACAATCATCACTCACTGGAGTCGTCGGAGTCATATCCCTCCACGTCGGGCTCCTCGTCCCTCCTGTGTGAGGAGGCGGAGGCTCCGGCAGAAGCCCGGTCCGGTTTATCCTCATTGGAGCGCTCACTTTCGGGGGTGGAGGTGCTGGAGGTGGTGGCCGGAGAGCTGGGGGGGGCAGAGGAGCTCGGGGGCCCGGCTTTGCCCACCAGCTGGGGCGCGCAGGGGGGGAGACCCCGGGGGTAACGGGGGAAATAGTCTGAGATCTGCTTGATGGGCTGGATGGGGCCGGGGCACACGTCAATGGCCATGTGCTCCTGGATGCTGATGGTGGGTTTCTCCCCTTTGCGTTGTGTCATGCATGCGGTCCAGCTCCCAAATCCAACAAAAAAATAAAAAGAGACAAACAGACCCCTCGTACTCCTCTTCCCCCTCCTCCTCTTCCTCCTCCTGTTGCTTCTGACCTGGGTGCAGGTGATCTGTGGATGTCACCACTCTGGTTCTACATGAAGAAGAAGAAGAAGAAGATGAAGAAGAAGAAGAAGTGTCTTCCTGTTGTCCTCACACCCAGACCATGCTGTCTGACAGCCTCACACACACTACTACCTACCCGCTCCTCCGCCTGTACACACACTCTGCCCACTGCGCTGCTGCCTGTCTGAGGGAGAGAGAGCGGTGTGTGTGTGTGTGTGTGTGTGAGTGTGAGGGATTAGAGGGACGGAGAGGAGGGAGGGATCAGCTGATGTCACTGCCTAGCAACCGAGCGGTAAACAGGAACCGTCGGGCCGAGGTGCTTAATTATGATATTAACCCCATCCATCTGTCGGTGGGAGGGAAGCGCCGGACTCATGCACATGTGCGTCCTTGAGTGTGTGTGTGTGTGTGTGTGTGTGTGTGTGTGTGTGTGTGTGTGTGTGTGTGTGTGTGTGTGTGTGTGTGTGTGTGTGTGTGTGTGTGCGTGTGCATGTGCGTGTGTGTGTGTGTGTGTGTGTGTGTGTGTGTGTGTGTGTGTGTGTGTGTGTGTGTGTGTGTGTGTGTGTGTGTGTATATAACTCTGGTGCTATGTCAACCTGCACAATGAGCCGTGAGTTGATGCTTTTTGTGTTTCAGGATGTTTTTGTACCTGAGTACTTTTCATGTTCACACGTGCGTCAACTCACTTTCACTTGTGTTTTCACTGAGTTTTTTCTTCAACATAACTATGATATCAGTAGGGTTGGGTGCCATATAACAGTTTTGTTACCAAATGCTAAATATCAGATAACAGTGTTTTTAAAATGAGTGTGTGTAGATTGGGGGCCCACTCGAGGTAAAATCGCCCCACTGGCCCCAAAGCATCGAATGCCGCCCCTGCCTGCTCCCTCTTTTTTGAAATCCCCCCCTAATTAAGATAAGATAAGATAAGATAAGTAAAGATGGACCTTTATTAATCCCTGTGGGGAAATTCAGTTGTACAAAGCAGCAACAGGGTAAGTGTGAAAAAATAGGACAGCAAAGATTCACACAGATTAATAAAATCAAAAATAAAATCAAGAAAAAAATTAAAATAATAATGATAATAATAATAAAAGACTATGAAATAGGAGATGAGTAAAAATAAGAGTAAAATAACTGTCAGCATATATACATATTTGGTCATCTAAGTTATGAAGTACGGAATGAGTTAAAGTGAAAAGTGAAAATGGACATCTGTACATATATATCGACATATCTATCTACCTATTTGGTCTACTACTAATATATTAACATGGGTTGTGGAAACAGTGTATATTTATGTCCAGTGATTTAATTGTATTTCTTTTTCATTATTGACCCCTTGTTGTGCAGCCTGATGGCTACAGGCACGAAGGACTGTCCGAGGCGCTTGGTGCGTTGTTGTGGAGGGATAATTGTTCTTTATTTACTTACTTTCCACCTTAATTAACACTCATCAGGAACTAAATCTGTTTTACTGTAGGCATTGTGGCGTTATATAATGAAAACACATAAAAACAGTAAGAGGAATAAAGTATATTACAAAAAAAAAGACTGTAAAAAATTATTAAAACAATATGCATAAAGGAAAATAAATAAGCATATGCCACATTTCCGTTTAAGTAGAAAGTAATATGAGATATCAGAAGTGGAAGAGCTGTGTTTTAGAGAGGTCATATTGTGCAGAAATGTGCAAAGCAGTCAGAGGAATGTGCAGATCTCCCTTCATGCTTTCATTCATGCACCTTTGTCTGTTCGAATGCACACACCCTATTCCCCATGTCCCAATTATGCGGTCTGATGTTATCACACCTTTCCCAATTGCTCACAATCTGTTGCATTTGATGGTGTCGGTGGACTCACTGAGACGCAGTGCACCGTCAAAGTCACTCTATATTAACACGTTTCATCACTGTGCATGTTATAATGAACAGAGACACCGTGAAGTGGAGTTAAAGCTGCAGTGCAGGTAACATAATGCTCCTCCTGTTGCATTCTGCTGTCACTACAGAGCCACCAGGGTGTGTGGGTAAAGTTATCCTTAGCTGATAGTGGGACTGCTTAAATAATACTAATAAGATTACAAATATATATATAAATAATACAACAAAATGTTAATAATTCATACATTTACAAAAAGTAATAATAATGAATAAGATACAATAAAAATTGTTACAGTATAATAATAATAATAATAATAATACACATAATAATAATTAAACAAAATATTAATAAAAATAATTAATAATATACAATAAAAAAATGTACAATATAATAATAATACACATAATAATAATTAAACAAAAACATAATATTAATAGAATTTAATAAAAGTAATAATAATTAATAATATACAATGGAAATAGTTACAATATAATATAACAATTAAAATAATAATAAATAAAAATGTCAAAAATAATTTAACCTAAAAACAGGACACATTTGAAACACACAAATATTGAGAACAAATACATTTAACACATTATAAAACAGAGAGAGTAAAAAAAATAATGACTAATCAAATCACACACCTTTCCAAAGTGATTTAGCAGCTCTGATATCCTCAGGCTGGTCGCAGATACACACGATACACACGCATCTTTACATTTGAATTCCATAGTGCCATTTATTCATTTTTACATCAACAGGTGCTCAACACCTCCTGTAGCTCACATTGCTTTATAAAGAGCCTCCCAGTCTCTCAGGAGCCTCTCCTCTGCAGCAGCTCTGCTCAGGTTCAGAACAAACAGAACAGCAGCACATGATGCAGCTCCCTCTGCTGTACGCTGCCACACATTAAACTTCATGGAGCTCATATTCAAAGAGTGTACTCTGGCTGGTTCATTCACAGCTGGAAGAAGTACACAGAGAGTTTACTTTAATACAAGTCCTGTACTCACACACCACACTGTAAAAAATACTCTGATACAAGTAAAAGTCATGCATTGAAAATGTTACTTAAGTAAACGGTTTCGTTTGTTTTAAATATGGAGGCGTTTCAGCCAAGATCTTTCAATTGAGTAAAAGTAGAACTACTCAGATGTTGTACTTGAGTAAAAGTAGAAGTACTCAGATCTTGTACTTGAGTAAACGTAGAACTACTCAGATGTTGTACTTGAGTACAAGTAGAAGTACTCAGATGTTGTACTTGAGTAAAAGTAGAAGTACTCAGATCTTGTACTTGAGTAAAAGTAGAAGTACTCAGATCTTGTACGTGAGTAAAAGCAGAAGTACTCAGATCTTGTACGTGAGTAAAAGTAGAAGTACTCAGATCTTGTACGTGAGTAAAAGTAGAAGTACCAGAGTGTAGGAATACTCTGTTACAGTAAAAGTCCTGCATTCAAAATGTTCCTCAAGTGAAAGTAGAAAAGTATTCTCATCAAAATATAGTGAAAGTAGCGACAGTAAAAGTAGTCATTGTGCAGATTGGTCCATTTCAGAATAATATATATGATATGTTTTATAATGATTGATCATGAAAGTGTTCTCAAAGCTGGTAAAGGTGCAGCTAGTTTGAATGACTTTGTATACTGCAGGGTAGCTTGTGGATTTACTCCAGGTGGAACTAAAGTCTGATTTAACACTTGATTAGATTTCACATCATTCATCCACATCTGTGAAGTAACTAAAGGGATTAAATACATGTAGTGGAGTACAAGTACATGATTTACCTCTGAATTGGAGAGGAGTGGAAATACAAAGTAGCATAAAATGGAAATACTCAAGTAAAGTACCTACAAATTGCCTTTGCAGACCATTTACATGCACTAAAACCTATTACACACTACATCGGGAAACCTCTAAAAGCATAATAGGGCGTCTTTTAATCCAAAGACTAAATAGTGTTTTTGCTTCGAGCGTCGAGGCAATCAATCAGATGAGGTCATGCTTATTGTTTTTCACAAAAATGCACATAAAATATTCTGTTGTGATTTATTGTGGCCATCAAACAAAGGGAACTTTACTGAAATGTAATTAAAGGGGACGTTTTTAGTCCAAGTTTTTTAAGATGAATGGCTTGAGTTTTAAGAAAGCTCCAGTAAAATGAGGTGAGCAATGCGTAGGGAGATGGCAGTGTGTGGACCCTCGGGTATTTGAAGTCGCCCTCTCTCAATGCCCAGACACTCAGAGGCAATTATCTCTCACAAGCAGAGCGAGGAGTCAACAGTAAACACTGAGCGGAGCACCGGGAAACCCTTCGTGAGAAAAGACAACGACTAAAAGAAGCCCCCAGGCGTCGTCTGGCTGAAAAAAAACATCAGCGCTGAGCAGAGAGAGAAGAGACCTAAAATTATTTACATTCTCCTTTGGCAGAGTTGGTATTTTACTCGTTAAGTTCATGCATCAAAGTTTTAGTTTAGTTTTGTCCTTTTTCACCCATAAACAACTTAGCTTTGTAATCCATTCAGTGCAAAATACATAATATAGAACGTTGGATGTTGTCCATTTGTTACACCCCCGAAACTAAATCATATTGTAGCCTGCAGAAGATTGAAGAATAAACAAAATAAAAACAACAGTAATATCACTAATGGATGAAAAAAATAAATACAAATATTACATACATACATACGCACGACAAAACAATTACAAAAAACAATAATAAACTATGGAACTATATATTTTCAAAGCAACAGTTTTTATCACACAGCTTGAGTCTTTGTAATTTTTCCAAATGTTCACACTTTGCATAGTCATCCATGACCATGGGCCATACTGGACTTTTTGGGTTTAAAGTTTAAAATGATTTTCGGGCAATGCAAGTAATAGAGTGGTGCAGGAATGAGTCCTAAACCCGAGAATGAGTCAGTATTTTAGCACTTCTGGGTTCCCTATCTCGAAGTGAGCATTTCTTTGAGCTTGTTTTTGGTTAAATGCCAGAAAAAAAGGTTTAAGAATAGGAGATTTTCCAGTTTTGTTCGACTACATTCAGGAAGCTTTGTTGTATCTTAAAGGTCACCTATCATGCTATTTGTAGGCAATAGCATTGGTCTCAGATATATAAAAATATATAAAAAACATGTCTATAAAGTGTTTTGCTCAAAATACCAAACAGATCACCCATTCTAGCCATGCCTCATATCCCTCTATTTCACTTCCTGTTTCAA